TTACATAGCAGGTGGGAACCAGTGATAAGGTGCAACAGCCACTTATTCTATTGCACTGTCTCCCAGATAATAACGGCTGCTGCTAAATTATTTACCATATGTATATTAACATGTTATCATCTAATTTTTTAAAAATAATTTCTTGTTTATCATCAACACTACTACTTCTACTGCAGAGCCAAGATAGACGCTCCTTCTGTTTCTAATATATCATCCTGCCTTCTCATTTAACTCAGACAAGAAATAAACATATTTGCCAAAATACCAATCAGTTTGCAAAAAATAAAAGCCAGTGCTTTAGTGGTGATAAATTATGTATCATCTGTTTTATCTGATAGGCATATTGGACCGTAGATATGTTTTCTGTTGTCACAATAATAAAGAGAAATGTGGTTTCCCTCTGCAGAAAACGTCCACGGCGGTTGCTCCCAGGTTCTTTTGTAAAATCTAATTTCTGCATTCCTGTTTTGTTATTCGCATGTTTCTGATCTCCACCTCCCAGTTCATTGGCTGCATAATTGGAAGACAGGGTAGCAAGATCAATGAGATACGCCAGGTCTCTGGAGCTCACATCAAAATTGCCAGCGCCACTGATGGCTCAGCCATGCGCCAAGTCACGATCACAGGTTCACCAGCCAGCATCAGTGTGGCCCAGTACCTCATCAATGCCAGGTAAGACATTACGCAGGACAGCCACGTCCAGCAGGGCATCACTCGCAGCCTGATGATAAGACAGCCAAACACTGAGCTATTATATTGGGACAGAGATATTGTGCTCAGGGTGAGGCTGGATTTGTTCCAACTCACTGCTCCGTTCTCTTGACTGCATTAAAATCCTTATTGTCTCTGCTTTTTAACACATTCCTTCTTTGATTCTTTTGTTTTCTCCTTTCTCACCTCCCTTATCCGTTGTCTCTCCCCCCCCCATCCTCTCCCCGTTTTTCTTTCTCCATTTTTCTCCTCTTAACCCTTCACCGTCTCCAACTACCCCTCCAATCGTCACGGCCTGCAGCTTAGAGATGGCTAAATACACAATGCAGGCCGCTTCCTCTGCGACCCCAGTTGACCTGAACATGAGCTTCTCACAGTCTGCTTCCACTGCCTCCACTTCTGCAACCTCTATGGCCGTCCTGGCGGCCACCACCCCAGCCCCCACCACAATTAACGTCCACACTCCCTCCACCTTACCAGCCATCCAAAACCCACACTACGCCGTCCCCGTTTCCAGCCTGCTTGGCATGAAAACGCTCCCCGTGCTGGCCGTACACCCAGCAGCCGCTTCCAGCCTAACGCAGGGTTTATCCCCTTACACCGCAAAAATGCCAACCTCCGGCGTCAAAAAGTCAGAGCGGCAGAAGTTTGCTCCTTATTGACACCTGCTTTTGAGCCAAGGCATCGTAGCCGACCGATAGGACCTAATTAAAAAGGATGGCAAGTATATAGGCCTAAAATCGGCTTACACCAGTGTGTAAGTTTTCCCCGTGTAACATTTGTTTCCCATAAATCAGAATGACATTAGACAGAGGCAGAAAGGCTGGCAGTATCAAAACATGTTCTCGTTAATTAAATGAGGCAGTAGAGGTGCATATTAAGTCAGTATTATCTCATGGACATGTATAACAATTAATGTGGGTAACTCAGGCTTGTATTCATAAAAAAGCTATTTTTCAAATGGATTTTCGTTCCAGAGCTTTATATGAAGACTTATCCCGATGCAATTATTGACTTAGTTTTCTGTCCGTGTGACTAGTTTTTCCTAGAAAATGTCAACTAGCAATAAAAGACGTGGTGCTTTTGTTGGCAGCAGGCTGTTAAACTTTTGGTTTTTCACTGTAGAAGTCAGCGTGTTAAGTGTTTTTTTTTTGGTTTTTTTTAACAAGGATTGTTCCACTCTTCTGTCATATTCCCCTCCCTCTCTTTCACTATAGGCTCTCATCAGTGCTAACAGGCTTGGGTGTTCTGTAGTAGCGTTGCACTGTTGCAGTTCTGATGGGATTATCTTAAAGCCACATTGGATTCTAGTGGATTTCACCCTACACAGTAATCATGTAAAGCAGGGACTGGCCTGACTAACTCTCGCTCGCTCGTACCGTACACCGGCTTGTTTCTTGTTTATTCTCCAGCCTCGGCGAGTGGGGGAAGGCTTCGACTTGCTTCATCCGAAACGGGGCGCTGATCAGTTATTTTAATAAATGTTTTATTCATGTGTTCCTGGTGTGGCAACCCCCCCCCACCCGCCCCCTCCACCCCACCGCCACCCTCCAAAAAATACCAGAATGCAGATTTATTATGTTTGTTGATGAAATGACTTTGAAATAAATGGGACTTTTTACGAATGCAGATTGGTTGCTTTTGTTCTAATTTTGTCAGTGGTGAAAGAATTCCATGTTTTTGCTGATTTCTCCGAGTCATAAATATAAACCTGGACTCTTGAGGATTTCTCCCTTGTTTACTCGTGGCTTTAAGCCATAATTGTATATACCACACATACCCACTTAGCCGAAATTATGGATAATATCTCAGAGCGTTGAAGCTGTTTTGTTGAATATACACTGTTTAGGATTCACGTTTTTTATTTCCTTTGTAGAAACGAGGGATTCTGAAGCCTTCTGGTGTGATTCAGTTTTCTACACTTGGAAACAAACCTCATAAACAAAGTGATATTAATAAGGTCGTAAGATCAACTTTTATTCTTTATTTTTTATCCCCCAAACACTGAATTTGCTTCCACAGATTGTACGTGTAAAACATTCAACAGCTGAAATATAGAAAAAATAGAGAGAGTCAGTTAGCAGGACACAGCTACATAGAGACTAGCAGGAGTGCGAAGACAACTCTGCACAAACTACTCCATAGTATTAAGGATGCAGTTTGCTTGTGGCAGAGGGCATGCAGCTCCTGCCCAAACAAACTTTTCTACCTGCACTCTCCTGAAAGAAAACAGAAGCGAAGCTGAACCTCACAGTAAATATTCAACACATGCTGTGGCAAAATTCTCATGGGTGCCAAAAAAAGAACAAGTTAACCTCCAGTCGTCCGCTCAACCGTGCTGCTAGTGGGCAGGTGGGGGTACAGTGCAGTCACTCCTTGTTTCTCCGTGTCCCTGCCGGCTTGTCCCTCTTTACCCTCGCCCCTTGGCGAATCTGACTTTGCTCCCTTTTCAGCGTAAAAACCCAGGAGGAGGAGGAGGGGAGCACTTCTGTTCCGCCTGATCCGTAGCAAGCCACGAGGGCCATTTCCACAGCAGGGCTCCAAATGCTGAAGTGGAGATAATCAATAGTTAATGGGGGCAGAAATGTAATGACAGTGAAGGATGACATTTCAACCTGGGGGAAGGTGTATGTGCACTGAACGCTGCTGCATGTATGTTGATGTGTGCCCAGGGCAGTTATGAGTTCACAGCCAGCTTCTAATGTTATATTAATGATTTCCTTTTTCAACCTGACACAGGCAGGAGTGAGCGGGCCATTGCAGGAGCTTGCTGCCATAATGCAGTTTTGGAAAAAAAAAAGCTATTTAGAGGTAAATAAGAAAAATAAATAATTTTTTAAAGGTGTACAGGCTGTCGCTGATGCCCTGATGAAAAACGGCTGCAATACTTTGCAGACTTGCACGTCTGTGGTGCAGATTGGGATTTCTTTTTTTAAACTTCCATCACACACAATAAGTCTGTATGTTAGACTTTTTATTATGAAGCTTCAAATTCATAATCCTTAAAGTGAGGCTTTATTCCAGCGTATAAGCAGTAAATATGCAACCAATAGTCTGCAATTATAAATAATATCCCTTAGATTTATATTTCTGAAGCTTTGCTTTATCTTAAAGTTTGTTTGTTTTATCCATATAATGAATATTTTTTTAGAGACATGAACAGCATATAGTCTGCTGCTGTTGTTTTACCAACTGCATTTCTAGGATAATTTCTTTGTGTGCTCAGGTAGTGCTACCAGTGATGGAGAAGGTAAAAGTACCAAAACGGCTTCATAAAGGGGAACAGAAATCCTACAAATTCACTTTCAAAGTAAAATTAAAAGAGTGGCTTCGATAATCTGAAGTCTAAATGTACATCCAGCTAAGGTGGACTGTATGTGCATTTACATATAATGTAGCTGGACAAAGTGGAGCTAATGTGGAAGAACATCAGTTATGGCTGCATCAGGTCAAACTGTCACTCTGCTCAGCTTTGTTCTGTGACCACATAGTTGCTAAGCTAATGGCATTTCCTTTCTAACAGCACCAGCTAAGATAATACACCTGCTGGATATTGTGCTGTGAACAGGTTATCATGGTGGTGTTAGATTTTTTTTTTCTCAGCTGCTGTGCCCAGGAATTTATCTTTTACTCACAGCTGTCAGGTAAATGCAGTGAAGTATGAAGCATGCTATCTCCTTGGACTGCAAGAAAAAAAAAGTTTTAGGCTTGAAAATGAAAATAAAACAGGCTAAAACTCACAGCGTGGCGACTTATTGGCGACTTTGTGCTGCTAGTTATTTAAACTCACCTCCCGCTGGCAACAATAAATAATGACTAACTAATGTGAAATAATGTCTTAAACCATTTAAGACCTTTTTGGTAATGAAACAGGCAAATGAACAATAAAACGGGATCTCTATGGATTACATGACTATGTGACACAGATGAACAGCGGGCTGTTGAGGGGATGCAATTCACAGCTTCAGTTAAGATAAATCAGGTAAGAGGAGGAATCTTGGCCACACACACACACAAAACATCGTTATGCAACAATTAATCAGAATCTTACATCAGGTGCTTTAGTCTTTTTCTCTTCTGGCACCAAATTACCCCCAAAGACCAAAGTGCGCCATGGAAAACGACTCCCTAATTCCAGATAATTAGGTAAAGTCGTTAATCACAGCAGCGAGTGAACCTTCTGAACCGACCTGTGAAACATCCATCGGGCTCACTAATTGACTGCCTGTTGTCTTGGAGCCATATTTAACTGCTCCATCTAGCGGTCTGTCGGCTGAACGTGACGTCGGAGCGCTGCTGCCTCTCTTCTCTCCCCCATTTATTAAATTATTTAATTTTTTTTTGTCACCGTGAGAAATAAAGTGCCAGTGTAGGGCAGGAACATCAGTAGCGCTTTGAAATCGTGGCTGTTCGCCGCAGACGGAGCGCTCTCACTCACTGCGCCGATGAAAGTTGAGCGCAGCACGCTGATGACCTGCGAGCTTCCTCCGGGGAAACTGTGCATTTGACTGGCTTAACGAGCGCCTGTTCCCATCTCTACACTACACATCATTTGTTGCTGTCTTGAGCTCCGCTGTCCAGCAGGCTGAAGGCTGTGTGTTTGAACCCAGCGCACTCACGGATACGGACTCACTCCGAGCATCACAGGTGAATAAGGATGCACCAGTGTTCCTGTGCGGAGGTTTTTTCTTCTTCTCTTATTTGCTTGTCTTAAATTGCTTGAACGCTCGGGCTTCACGTCAACTTAGTTGACTGTGAATAGGCTAATTTATGTTTATTTATACTAATGTTCTTTTGCATTTCCTTGATGTTCCCACTCTCTGTGTTACATTAAAGCCACCGTGCATGCATTTAATTGCACCTAATCCCATGCAAATTAGCTTGATTGGAGAAAACTAACGCAGATCGTTGCAACCTACTGTTGCACCTGTGGCTGTTATTGTAAGTTCATTATGTGGTTTTTTAAAAATATGTAAAATAGGACTGAGGATTTACTAAGAGAGGTTTCAGACTCTGCTCGCACACTTAGGGGTGCACCATCCAGTCAGCACAGCCTTTACCAGCAGAGCCGAGCCGAGCCGAGCAGGCAGCCGAAACCCACAATCCAATGTATTCATTATTTAATATATTCATAGTATCCAGAAAAGTAGGGGGTAGGGTCTCAGGATTCTATATGTTTTGTGATGCTGTAGGCTTGTTGTTGTTGTTATTATTATTATTTGGTAAATTATGTTCTGATTTGTTCATTTTTTTTTTTTATTGAAATGCTAGTTCCGTTTTGGGTGTGTTCCAGCTGCATACCCATCACTGTCATCATCATCATCATCATCACTTCTCTTTGTTCTTATTGAGAAACACACAAAAGAACCCTGCTTTTTTTTATTCCCTTTTCCTTAATATAGTTCCAGCCTCAGACTTTTCCTAGTTGGCTTTGTTGCAAGAGCAAACCACTTACCTTCTTGCACTGCATATAACCTTAAAGCCTGTATGACAGTTTTGCAAGGGCTGTTGGTTTGCATGTTTAGGCAAACTTTCTTCTGATTTGGGTCACTAGTAAGATTTACAGTCAGAGGACAAAATTCAATTAGACAGCCCTGCAGCAATCTTTACTCACTGGCAGATGGCTTTATGCTCTTGGATCCTGCCTTAGTGTCCCTTATTGCTCTAATTGGATTTCATCATTTCACACTGTTTATCTGTATGAAAATGAATTTTAAAACGCAGCATCATTAATTCAATACTCTCTCAGCCCTGTCAGATCCAAGCCCACAAGTCACCACCGCCTAAGCATTTCACATCTCATCCCCTGCGATCGGCTTTGTCATAAATTGAAGCAGACCTCAGAGTAAATTGTTATGTTGATGGCATGTTGGGCTCTTGGACGAGTCTAACTAGGAGAATCTGTAATCTGTGTGCAATAAATGAAGTGCATGCAGTGGCGAGGACATATTTGTCTGTCTGAGTTTATTCTAGCCCTGAGGAGATGGTTTTCCTCTCAATGACATCCACTTTGATTTTACATAGGGACATTCGCAGGAGTTGCATTCCCCAGGACAATGTGAATATGATGTTTGCTTATCTGGTAGTGCTGCTTGTCAGACATACATTGTGTACTATACCAGCCTTACACAGAGAAGGAAACAAAAAATGGTGCTGATACTGTAGTCTCGCCACTGCTGCATCCCTTTCCCATCGTTTTCTGTCACCGTGAAGCGTTTCACTGGGATCAGATTTGCAAATTGTCCTATTTATACTTTTAAATACCACTCCTATTAATTAAGATTAAATGCTAATTAGAAACAAACAGCTTAGTTGGGGTGTAGAAAATTTCTGGAGATGAGCGAGCTGCCTCAGTACATTTGACCCTATTTATAGCATTATTGCGAGCCTGAACAGCCATCAACCGCCCTAACTGAGTGACATCTAAGAAGCAAGTAACAGGGAGGTCAGCCTTTACACAGCTCAAGCGCCACGGTTTGTGTTATTGAAACCTTGCCAGTTCAATTTATATGAATAATAGTATCGTATTTGTCAAGGTGGAGCTAAAAATTGCACTCAGATCTCAGGTTGTTGTGGCAGGACTTATCGTCCATATTCGCTCTGCTGTGTAATGAAAACGACAATAATTTATGAGTCATGAATCAATGCGATGGTGAGCTTCACTGAAGCGTGAAGCTGCAGCTAGGCTGAATCCCGTCTTGATTAATCATTGTTGCTGCACCTCAGTGGTCAAACCTACTATGTTCGGTTGCCTGAGATGTAAACAAAACTCTGGCCTTTGACAGAGGGGATTTATAACTTCAGCGACGATAATGACAGAACTGGTGCTGGTGCCAAACACCGAGGCTGGATGTTGAGTCCGTTCACTCCGGCGCAGGAAGCCACAGAAATATTTAAATGTCAGATGGAAGTGGAAGCATGGTCGGTCCTCAAAAGTAATAGCACGGGGACCGGCAGGAGTTAGATTTGCAATTTTAATGGTTGGAGCAGAATAACAAAATGCAATTGTATTATCAAGGGATAATTATAGTGGCATGCAAAAGGTTGGTCTGCATTTCTGCAACAGTGAACAGTTAAGTGAGTAGAAAATGAAGTGAACTCCAAAAAGGGAAAAACTATTTCAACAGATAGATTTGTCTGTCATTTCTATTGTGTAGAACTGCAGAGTGTGAAAACAGGAAACGTGCGTGCCTCATTCACACAAGCACCTTTTCCCCCTATGATGAAATGCTTTCTATCTAATATGTACACACTTTGGCAATATAATGAATGCATTGGCAGCAACTAGGGGTTCAGTATCTTGCCCCCCGAGTATACTTTGCCATGCAGACTTGAGGAGCCAGGGCTTGAACCATCAACCTTTCAATTTAATAGTTCTGCCTCATGAGCCACAGCTACTACCCCCAGTCTTTCCTAACCTTGGATTATCTTTACCAAGGCTTTTTCACACTTGTCATAATGAAACACCACATTGAAAGTTTTATAAATACTCCGACTTCTTCTTCAGCTTGTGTCAAAAAATCTTGCACCCAAACAGCACTCTACCTACAAAGAGAGGGACTGCTATGAGAGGAAGGCATTCAGGGAGCTCTTTGCTCAGTTCGTTAGGAAGATGAAAGCTAACGGGAGTGGTGGAGATCAAGTTGAGGTCTGGAAGACCAAGACAATATTCAGAGACAGCCGCCTCCTGGATTGCAAGAAAGGCAAAACACAGATTTGTTTGAGGTAGGTTTCACAGAAAAAAAAAGAAGAATTCATGAAAAGAAGACTTCTTCAACTTCACAGAGGTGTATAGGTCGCGCTTTGGGCTTTTGTTGCAGCCAGCGGAATAGGGAGCATTTCACCGGCAGAGGGAAGAATAGATTCAATTAAATACCAGCAAACTCAAGAAGCATCACAGTTTGAGTCTGTAAAAAAAAGATGAGAAGATGAGACGAGGCTGGCTTCTACATCGGGGCAATCATCCGGAACACACCTTAAAATTCAGAGTCAAATACGAAAAGAAACTAAAGACTGTTTGTTTTTTTCCCCATGGCTCTGATAGTCTGTCGGCCTAAATGCCATGAAAGATCTGTGGCCAAAGCTCAAAAGAACACAGAAGTTGAAGCTTTTGCAAGAATATTTAACAAATTCAGAGTAAATAAATAAATGACTTAACTTCTACAGCAAGTAGTGTTACTTGCCAAAAGATTAGCTATTAAGCACTGACCATGCCGGGCGCCCAGCAGGGTGCCCAGCTGTTTCCTCTTTTCTTGATTTTCTTACTCTAACTTTATTCCTAGTGGAAATTAGGACATCTTTTATTCATTTAACTGTACTAACAGAAATTTTCAAGAGGGCAGGCGTTTGCATGTCCCTGTAAAATTCCCTTCAGTTAGATAGACACAAATCCAAGGTTACATCCTCTGTGTATATGGTAATTGTTGCTAACTGCATGCAGAGAATTGAAGGATAGAGCTATATGAAGGCATATCAGGTGAAGTTTGGAGTGGACGAGGGGAAAACAATCTGTAACATACAGTAAGGCAATTCCCATTCTTTTAATATGGACATGCTGATATGCATCCATCTCTTACATCTTCTTAATACCCTGGAATTAAATTTTGGGCTAGCACTTAGTATCTATAAATTTGATCTAATTTATCCAGAGAAAATCAAATTATTTAGTATTTTTCCCTGGAAAAATATAGGTGGAAAAAACAACAGGCTGCTTTCGAAGGCACAGTCGAAACAAATAGCGTAATAAATAATAAATTATAATAAAAACGCACAATATTTAAAGGCAAGTTTCATGTACTGTGACGTAGCTATGATCAGTGAAAGTGCATTAAAACAGGAGAACACTGTCAGTGCTTTTCTTCTTGACCTATGCATTGCCTGGTTGCGGAATATTAATAATTGCATATGTTCTCCCTTAAATATGTTATTTGACCTTATTAAAAACCAATTTGCAGGAAAGTATTAAGGCAGAGCCTTTCCTCTGCTGTAAGCTGGGTATAATGAAGGTGACAAAACACAGGAATGTCCATAAAACAGTGTTGATATAGCAAGCAAGGAAATATTAAATAAGATATGAATATTTAATAGGTTACATCAGCCATGCAAACAGAAATAATTACATTTTATGTGCAGTGAAGTCATTTGCAGACAGTACATTAACCTACAAAGTGACATGAATAATGTTTGGGGATGGCTAAACCCATGAGACATCTAACTCCCTTAGACTTAGCCAGTAAAACAAATCCAAAGAGATTTGTCTGGGATTTGGATGGCGCAATAGTGCAATATGAAATGTATTGACAAGACAGCCACATTTTTCTATAGTAGTGCATGATTTATAGCGCATGTGTTGCAGGAATTTAGAGACCCGAATCTGCTTTTTATACTAATGAATGCGATGTTGTATTTCACGGGAAATCTGCTTCCTTTGCTGTCAGTTTCCAGCAGAGGTCTTCCTGCTGTTCAGCCTGTCAGGCCTGAGGTTTGAACCGACAACTTTCACATCGCTGTCTGGAAGCCGGCCGACCATAACCTGCTTTAAAGTCCCAGTCATTAAACTTTAATACAATATGACCACTCCAGAGACATTTAGTCTTATATTTGAGATATATATTGTATTCCCGGGGTGTGTGGTTTGTTCTCCTGGAGTCTGTTAGCATCATTACTTATTAATCAAAAATTGGACGACCGTCAGATCAAGTCTCAGCACAACAGCAAAGATAAGCTTCTGTTTTTTTATTGGCATTATTATGATGCATGTGTCAGTGTAACTGTTTTGGTCCAAGGCACTGTAATATAATACAAACTGCATGTCTGGGGATTTGAACTTTTCTCATACATATTTCTTGTTTAACTGACTTTAAAAAAGTCTTTGCCTAGACCTTAATCTCATTTTAGCACCTTATGTCACTTGATAATTGCTTGCACCACTTCACTTGGCACAGTGCAGAATCCTGCCACTTGCTAAAGTGATTTTAAAAAAAAGGGGAAAACTGCACATCCACTAGACTCTGTGCGGTTCAAAAAGTGACTGCTCTCCCATAAAAATAAAAATATATACACATAAACACACCTAATTTTCCATCGAGTGTTTGTTTTCCAGCGATAAGTATTTGCTGTTAATTGGAGAGTTGCTTTTCCACTTACAAAGCTGAATTTCCTTCTTTATTTTGCTCACAAGTGGGTGTTCTGAAGTGTCACACGTGTGAATGAACTCACTGATACCAGCTTATATAATCTCTGGTATGCTTTTGATTGATGGCTGCAGCCGGTAGTTTGCATAAATCTGGGATGTGCTTTGAGGTCACACCTGTGCAGGGTTTGTGACTGAACGCAAGAGCGCTGTTGTTACCTCGGCAGGCAAAAACACAGAGTTGCTACATCACAATTAGGTCCCTAAAGAGACTATGGTTGCAGCGTGAAAGACACTAGGTGATTAATGCGTATAATTTATGTAATATTCAATGCTGTATTCTGCAGCGACATGTAGACTGACACTGTATGGTATGTTCATGTCATTTCTTAGTTGTGTTTTTTCTCTTCCTGCCAGAACGTCTTAGCGAGCACTGAAGATAGAGCAGTGAAGCAAAAAACCCAGAATTCGTTGCAGAGCTGTAGGCCAAAGATAAATCCATGACCTTTCAGCAAATAGCTTATATGCAACATTATAAATATAAAAAACGCTTGACATCACTTGAACCCGAGGAGTGGTAAAGAAGAAGTATCCACAAAGGCATCTTGAACAGTGGAAATGTTTTCAGTGTTTTCAATCCAGTCTGTAAATCTTCCTGACATTTGGCACACATTATGCTGTGTGCTGGAGAATTAATTAGATAGACATTTGGAAAAGATGTGATCTGTAGGAAAATGGCAAGATGGCATAAGGATAAGGCTAATGGATGTAGGCAACAATTTGATTTGCAGATGCTGAGAATCTGCATAATTTTGTAAAGAGTTTGTTGTCAAGAGATTAAAAAGATGCTGCTGTTTCCTTTTCTTACCTTTAACAAATCCAATAAGAAAAATAAATAAATAAATAAAACCAGAACCAAAACCTGTCTGCAGCTTTTAGTAGCTATCCCATTGATTCCTGAAGTAATGAAATGGGTCTTAGATGTAATAGTTTTTATTTTATTTTATCAGGAGTATGTGTTTTCATAAAAACAGCAGGGAACTGTGGCTTGAAGTAGAAGCTATACAAAAGCAAGTAAATGGTACATTTGTTTAGGACTATTTTCAGCCATGGGTACACGTGTAGTTCTGTAGTGAGTACTCACGTCACCAGTGTATATCATCTCTGTAAGTGGATAGTTAGCAACCCTTTGAGTGTGTTGTATGTTGGAGGAATAATGGAAAAGAGACTTAAGTGTGTTCAGTGCTTATTATTGTCTGAATAGGAAGAGAATAAATGCACTGGTTATGGCACCACAGAGTGAAGCCAGTGAGTGGATCTTAAAGCTGGTCTGAAAAGCTTGAAATTAATAAGCACAAACTAAAACGATTGACGTTTTTTAGTTTGTGAGGATTTTTCATCTATCAACCAAGAAATGTCTTAAACCTTCATTCTTTCTAATGGCCACCAGGGGGCGACTCCTGTAGTTACGTGCATCATAGTGTTGTATATTAGTCTGTGGGGAAATGGCACATCTGTGATCTTCAAAACGTTTTTAAACGTGTTTAAGGTCAAAATATCTAACTTGAAGTGTGGATGGAAAAAGATCTAAATCGTGTTTATGCTGATTACATTCAGTGGCATGTGCCAATATTTTTGTGACTCATGGTCATGCACCTCTTGATTTTTGTAATCTGGTGCATTAACCCTAAAATGCAGCTGTGTTGAATGCAGAAATGTACCATTGTATTGGTTTTTATGGCTGTTTTAATGGTATATCAGTACAGAATCTCAGAGATATATAGATATACTGAAGAAGATATTGCAACAATTTGAACAGATGAGACTTTGTGGAAAAAATTTGAAAAAAAAACCAAACCCCAAACACTTTGCAATGTCTTTGCTTCCAGTTTTGACTTCTTCGCTTCCTATATCAGCGCTGATGTGGCGGCACTGTCTGAGTGCTGACCCCTATCATACAGGAGAGTACTGCACCTTAACAGCAAGCATAAATAGAAGTGACTGTGTGATGATGTTGCAGCAGCATGTAAAGCACAGTCGGCAGTCCACAGATCTGCATGGGGTTAGGTTAATTGGTGATTCTAAGTCGGTCATAGGTGTGAGCATGAACGATTGTCTCTCACTCTGTGTAGGCCCCGTGAGAGAGTAGCGACCTGCCCAGGCTGTGCCCGACCTTTTACCCTATGACAGCTGGGACAGGCTCCAGCCCCACTGTGATCCTAAACTGGCTAACCGGAAACGGATGGACGGGAAAGACATGATGTTTTTGTACATATTGGTCCCAATTAGAGTCATGTTGTGTCTGGTGTCAAAACACCAAGATGCTGACGGCTGAAAAGCACTCAGCTTGAGGCTTCACAGACGTCACAGTGGTTACGGTCGTCTTACATCTACAGCCTATTCACAGGACACAAACACAAACTGTTATTTCATGTCACTTAACCAAGTGCACCTTTTCGCATTGCCTGCCCGCTTAAATATAAAAAATGCACCGCATCTTCTTGTTACGCTGCACAGATGAAGTTTAGTAAGTCACAACGCTGACGTGTTCGCAGCGGACGTTTTCATTACCAATTTGCCACACGCAGTGAGAGTTACACAAACTCGAGCAACTTTTACGTAATGAGAAAAGAGAGAACGCCTGCGAGACACGACACCCACATGACTCATTATCAGCTTGTTCACACACCGTACCGACCGCGTTACCTTTGGAATTAACTTGTTGCCGGTTATCCGTGGGAGCTGTTGACAGTGAAGGGCAAATATAGATCTATTGGCATCCTCGTGTCCTTTAACATGATGTTATGGATGATGTTCTGCTCCCGAATGCCAGCAAAGCCTGAGGGCCACCCAGAGCTCAGCCTGGATGGAGAGCACAACAGCAAAAACCAGCAGCGGTGTTAATGTGACAGCCAGTAGCAGCTGTTAAGGTGGAGAGGTGAGACTGAAAAAAGCCAAATGAGGTCCTTTTTGCTAATGAGGCCTAGGCATTTCTCTCTCTCTCTGTCTCTCTCTCTCTTTCAGCTGCAACAGTGTTATCGGTATGCACCTCGTTCTGCTTCCTCTCAGTTCCACAGCAGCTCCAAGGATTCAGCCTCAAACATAGCAATTCAGCTAAAACACTACTCAAATACCACTGGTGTGCCAGCAGTCAATTCCAGCCTTTTTTTTTCCCCTTCAGAATGGAGCAGAATTAATGAATATCAAAATGCGCGGCTTAAAACATGCAGACTTTGTTTTCCTCGCAGTAGAATTAATGCGGTTGCTATCTCTGCTGTATGCGTTACCATTTCAGCTCTTCACCTGCTGTTTAGGGCTCCTAAACACTCCGTTGGAAATTAGTTGTGTTCATTGACGCTGACAAACCAATCAATATGGTGAACTATTTCTTAAACAAACGCAGACAGGTCTTAAGTTAATTGTCGAGTCAATCGATGAGGGGTAATCTCACCGTTTCTGTTTAACGAAATAGGCCACGGATGTCAACGCTTAGACAAGCCCGTCAGACGGAGCTCGGCGTCGCGCTAAGCCGAGCATATGGTGGGAGAAGGGAAATGAATGGAAGTAGGCCACTGAATGCAGCAAAGCATCGTAGCGGGCATTTGAATTTCAAGGCGGTGCGTTAAATCAAGTTAAGCAAGAGACAAAAACAAAAACATTGACTACAGCTTTTCAGAAATTTGCAGTGTGTGCAGCGTCAGCAGTTGATCCTGGGATTTTCCTTAACTTCAGCTGTTGTATATTGACTCCTGGCAGTGCTGAAAACTATAAGGAAAGAGATGTGCTTCTACTTCTGATTTAAAAACAAAAAACAGAGAGACAGAGCTTTAGAGGGAAACTTTTAATGCTCCTCTTTGCAAAAGCTGGCCACTGCAGTCAGCTCTAGCAAAGGAAATTTGTCTTTCCAGACTGATATTATGTTCTATTTTCAAATCAAATCTTCCTTTTGTACAGCTGACTGGGATTCATTTAAGAAAAAAAATCTAGACATTGATCCTGATTCTCCCTAAGAGGAGCGAGAGCTTACGAGATTCAACTTGTTGGAGGTATTTTTTGACCATTTTTCTTTTACTTTATCACCGCTGAGCCCGATTGATGCAGGGAAGTGTTACAGTATGAAGCAGCATCGATTTCCTAAAACGGCCCCATGAATGCTGCCTGTCCTGATGATCCAATTCACTGATCCTACAGGCTTGCATCACACTCGGCGGGGTGTTCGACAGCCATGATGAAGCAGTGCTCCGAAGTGAATTTCTTGCCCTGTTCTCGAGGCTAAATGAGACAAAAGCCACACCTTGGATAAAAAGTGACAAAATGCCGAGCACATAACCCCAGTTTAATTTTCTCTTTCCAGATGGACTGGCTCACACCTGAGATGTGAAGTGTGTTATGTGAGCCAAGGTGTTTTCCCACCTCGCTGGTGGTGGGGAGAGATGCTGCACTCCGTTGCCATGACAGCAGAAGTTCTCTTTGTTCTTGGGTTCCTGATGATGAGCGGCGCTCTGTGTAATCCTATCGCGACCTTACCGGTGAGCCAAGAGCGTCTGGAAAGGGTGTTGACCCAAGCTAGGGAGGACAAGCATCAGGACAAGCAGACTGCAGAGGAGCCGCTGGGATACATGGCCCAGGAACAGCCGCAGGAAATCAATGCTGTAGGGCCCAACAGGACTGCCAGGTCAAACCTCAGCTCTCAGGCACAAGGATCTAAAGGCGAGAATTCCCAGGAGCTGTGGAGCGAACAGGACAGCCTGAACCAAATAGACGAAGCTCCGACCAGTGACGTCACCCTCTCCCTGGACGCCATCGACGAGTACGCGTACCCAGACTACAGGGGGAAAGGCTGCATGGATGAGAGCGGCTTTGTTTTTGCCATCGGCGAGCAGTTCACCCCGGGCCCTTCAACGTGCCCTTGCCTCTGCACAGATGAAGGCCCTCTGTGCTCCAAGCCAGAATGTCCCAAGGTCCACCCTCGCTGCATCAAAGTGGACACTAGCCAGTGCTGCCCGCAGTGCAAGGAGAAAAAGAACTACTGTGAGTTTCGGGGCAAGATCTATGCTTCGCTAGAAGAGTTTAAGGTGAGCCCATTAACTGCATTCACTCATTTTTGACATGCTCCAACTTGAAAGGAGTGCTGACAGAACACTCCATCGCCACGAATGGAGTTTATCACAGGCACTACACAGAAGCTAGTTACCTCGCCTTGCAGCATGCAAGCAGGCAGGCAAATTTATAATGGCAAAGGTCAGCACTTGTCTTTTATTTCCCTTTTTTCTCCTCTGCACAATGTTACTGGAGGCTGGATTTAGCAGTGCAGCTTCAGCAGAGTGTTTCCATATTTAGTTTGTTGATACACATGATAAGAGTTACAGTTATCGTAGTGTTACAACAGCACAGCGCAGCACACTGCTGCATGTGGGTGTTTGAGGAAGAAGAAATACACTGGTGAGATGGTTGTTTTATCTTCTGACACCACTTTGAAAGGTTCGGCTCAGGACTGCACCACAGTCACAGCGTTAGGTCTCATTTATCAGCGCCTAATGCTCCTATTTATAATGGATAGTGTCTCACCGGGTGGTTAGGGCTAATATGAGATGTCTTCCTCTAAGTCATGTTGTTGCCGACAGCTCTCTGCTGAGCCAAATCTACAGAAAGCCTCTACTGCCACTAGCCGCATACATCAGCCTTTCTGCTGTGTGAAGAGGGGGTGCTTTGAAACTAAGCAACAGGCAGGTTTTAATGCTTGATTGCTGCATTCTGGGGCATTGTGCTAAGTGCTACCTCACTCCATTTTCACAGTGGAGTGCCATGCGGAGGCGCAAGCCTCTGCAATCTACAGCAATGCTGGAATTAACCTTTGCTCTCTTGTTAAGACTACATGTATATGACTTTATACATGCAGCTGCTAAACTGAGCTTTGCATGGACACTGTAGGCTGCAGGCTAAATGTAATTCAAAGTGCGCTCTGCCTTTGTCCTACATTTGCTGTACTTTGAGATATACAGGAACGCTCGGATAACTCAGTAATTTCTGACTCTGATCACGCGGCGAGAAAATTGGAAGCATCTTCCTTCTTGTTTCCCATTCCTATTGATTTCTCCATATCCCCCTGATTCGATTGTGAAGTTCAATTCTCGACTCAGCCCTTTCTAAAACAAGGCATTCATTGGCAATGAAGTTGAGAAAGATGGGGCTTCCCTATAGATGTGGCTTTGAGACACTGAGTGCACGCAGTCTTTAAAGGAGCCAGACAGGCAGGCGTGTTTTGTGTGTGCAGGTTGAGAGACAGACAGAGCTGCAGAAAGGCAGGAGATTGGCTAAACAGACATGAAATAAATGAATCTTAGACAAAGATGGCAAGAAATCAATTAATTTGGGAGGACTTTATGTCACCTGTGTTTACTTGTGCATGTGATGAACTGTTTGTAAGAGCGTTAATTGATGTTTTTTTTTTCTATCAGGTGTCTCCGTGTGAGAAGTGCAGGTGCGAGCCGAGCGGAGAGGTGCTGTGCTCTGTGGCAGCCTGCCCACAGACGGAGTGCGTGGACCCGGAGTACGAGCCGGATCAGTGCTGTCCCATCTGCAAGGGTGGTGAGTGGAGATGATGATTTCTTTCAACAAGCCTTTCGGTGACCAGTTCATTCCAGTGCAGTCGGTCTCCCAGTGGCATTGGCATGAAAGCCCCACTAGTGCCAGCTTTTGCTCAAGGGCACCACAACAGGAGTTATGAGAGCGAGGTAGCAAAGCATCATTTCGCTGACGCAAAGCAGGCAGCATGCTGCACTGCAGTGTGTGCAGTATCTTGCCACATCGGATCAAATCTGTATAAATGAAGTCACGGCAAACAAATGGCTAATGAGCTCTGAGTCGTGGCCTGTTTTTGTGTAAATATTACTTTTTTCTCTGCGTCATTCTTAATGTCATTTCGAGAGTCGTTTGATTGATTCTGTAGCATATGTTCCAAATCCGTCTACTGTCTGGTACTGAGATTTGAGATACGCTTGCATTTTTTTGCTGCTTCTGCTGCTGTTGGGGGGTGGGGGGGGGGGGGGGCGGAGTTTATGATCCCGTTGGTTTGAGAGCTTCGGCCTGCCTGAGAAGAAGGAATTCTGCAGCTCAGAGTCGATTATATGAAGTTGTTTCCGATGATTCCAGACAGCATGTCCTAGATTATGCCCCCTTGTTTTCTTGGCGTGACTCTAATGCAACATGGCAATGTCAGCAACATTGCTTCCTTCAGCAAAAAGAATGATGACTTGCGATATGTATCTCTGACTTGGAATCTTAAAGCGGCGCAGGCTGTCTGCTATAAACAAGAGCAAACAATCTGCATGTGGAAAACAGAACCCGCTGCATGTGAAAGTGCTTCGTCTGTATGAACCGCTTACAAGGTGACAAGCGCTGCTGGTAGTGTCTTTTTTTTTTCCGGGTAAAACTGCAAGTGAGATATTTTGATTTTCCGGGCGTCTGTTGGAACTTTTTACACATTAAATGCCAAATGGGAAAATTAGAAGACGATTTGAAACAGATGATCAGATGATGATGAATGAATTTGGCTTAAATGAACAAAACACACACACACGCACAAAAACACCTCTTCTTCAGCATATGTCTGCCATCAGTTCATTATCATTGCACTCAGAATATCGCATTAGCATTAGTCATGTATCATTTTAAACTCTGGAAGCATTATAGACATTAGAATTTGCATGTAATGAATGTTCATGACTAGTCATCAATCAGAGATCGTCCCGCTCAAACGAGAAGCCTGTCTCACAACCTTCCAGTGGTAGCAAGTTGAAAAAGATTGGTAGTCATAGAGCGTCGCTCGCTTTATTAATATTTGGCTGCTGTAATCTTGGGGAATACATGTTGGTCCTTTGTTCTTCCATATTTATTTATTTATTTATTTATTTTTGCTGTACACCCACATTTTATATATATGCACATATTGATCATGCTGAGAGTGCTTTTTGGGCAGTTGTGGGCAGTGCTCCATAATTTCCCCCCTGTGAAATGCCCAGTGGATTAGCTGGGCCGCATTTGTAGGCACGTCAGTTCAGGAGACGAATGTAGATCCCGTACAGTATGCACAGAGATGTGGCAGATTGAAGAGAGCGGGCATTTGTATTCTCAAGTATCCCCAAATCCACGGGCTCGTTCACCCGATAAGGATTTTCAATTTTAGGTTGACGTCAGTCCCTATTACCATAAGATTACCACACATTACCTTTCAATGAATGCGGCTTGCTATGCAAGGGATGACACGTTATCTGGCCACAGATAATACCGTCGCGAAGAATACTGTAGCCCATGGGGATTGTGTGGTTAAAAGTGTTAACTACTCAGCCTGCAAAAACAGTAGGGCACGTCTTCTGTGGCATTGTTAGAGCTTCCTAAATTGATGACCCTAATAACATCATCAAGTTAATCTCAGCTTGAGCTGGGAGATTTTATATTTTAGCCAACTGACACCCTCTAGAGCTGAAAAATGAAGCCAGTGTAGAAGTTTTGCTCTTTGTCAGGGGCAAGGCTGATGCCGTTTCCTCAATGCAGCCATTGCCGGAAATTATAGAGGGTACAAGAAGGACCGGGCATCCTTTTTTATGGGGGAAAACAAACTTGTCCTGCTCAATACATCATTGTCAATATTAAATAACAAAATGCAATAAAAGTGCTAATAATAGAGGTGATATAACAGATTTTTTTTAATGACTGCCCGTTGTTTCCCGATGTGAGATTCTTTTTTCGTCTACCCAACAATGAAATAAAACATATTTATGATCGTAACCAGACTGCATTTGGTTTGCAGTTGTGCTCTTTTCTTATGGACAGCTGCATCTCCTCATGCATGTTTATGGAGGCAGGAGGTCTGCTCACAGTTATTTGCATATTGTGATTTATGAATTGTTCTTAACCCTGTGACACACCATTTTAAAAAGTCCAGGAAACACCCATGCTCCTTAAAGTTAATGCTATCAGCTCAAATGTCTAACTTTGAAAGTTATATATGTTTAAAGGCGTGACGGATTAGAGTGGCACGTGTGCACCGACCCACGCACACGCAGTGTTGCTGCTAGACATCACCTCGGCTAATTGGAGGCACTCTACTGGACCTCTTGATCTGTAATTATCTGACAAATAATACGGCTTGTTGTGTGGTTAATTATACCAACAGACCATCCAAGATGTCTGTGCTCCAGTTTTTGGTTTTTTTTTTGTTTTTTAGTGTGATTCTAGAGTTATTCTGCTCATGTGTTAATTAGCAGGTAGGCTGTTCTGTACTGATGTATTTCACATGTACAATTATGCATGCAGCTTGCAAACCAAGCTAAATGGTGTTAAAGAACACCTTTTTCACTTATAACTTCCAAAAGAAAGTGATATCTTTGAAACACTAGTCTAATCTGGAAACAGTGACTGATTGGCAGCTAAGTGCATCTTTTATTTGTAGTCTGCTGCCCTTTAACTTGGGGAAAATTTGTTTTTTTAACCATATTTAAGAGTTTTCCAGTGGGGGAGTACCTGCTGGTTCTGGAAGCATTATTTCTTCACTCTTAAAACGTTAATGAAGCCCTCGGTGTGCTTCCACAGAGAAACACAGGAGCCTGCTGCTTGATTTAACATTACAATTATTTGCGTGCTCAGCTGGAAATCTGGTTACATTTGTGCACCATATATTCTGAATTACACCCAAATTGGCCAAAAGTTCAGAGCGATCTGTTTTTAACAAACGCTGTTATGTTTAGCTCCGACGATGATGATGCTCAATTTTCAGCTTAGCGACTGTATGTTTCATCTCGAAATGCGACCAGTGATTTCTCCCACCAGTCTTTTTACGATCAAAGGTCGTTGCTTTTGTACGGATGATTCAGTGAGTCATTCATCATGAATGTCCAAACCATTTGTCAGCTGCTTAAAGCCACTCGTTATGTTGTTTAACTAGAAATTGAATTGAATCTGCGAAAAAACATGAGAACCCAAAATTGCTTTCTCCACTTTTAGGCACAATGAGACTCTTCTCAGTTCCATTATGGAAATCTGGACTTTCCTATCTGTGTTCCTTAATACAGTGAAGTGAAGGACTAAATGACCAGAGTGCTCTTTTAAACTTATCTCGAATACTTGTTTTCATGCATATACCTTTATGACATTTAGCTAAAAGTAGAAGCCTCGTCATCGTCATGCAGCGTCTGTCAGCCTGCTCTCAAACTCCTTTAGGGAGCATAATCTACAGGAGCACAGTGATATTTATGAGAATACAGAAATAGGCTTTGGCAGCATTTACGCCTCATTTGTGCAGCAGTCGGGCTGCTGTGCTTTTTTTGTTTTTAACTCTAGCAGGTACACTTTTTATGTATTTTTAGGATCGTGCCAATAATTTCCACTTCCCTCCTCACTTTTGCTCTGCCTCCTGCTGGTGTTTTCGCATGTTCACGATAGCTGTGAACATTAGAGCCCAAAGTGTTAATTGACACAGAATCGAGAGTCTGGTATCAGTGTGTGTTTAACAACTTCTTATTGGACGGGGAATCATTTTTGGCTCGTGATTTTGTGACCACGGCTGACAGGGTTGCGGCTGTGCAAACAGGAGGCGTGAGCACTCGACAAACAAACACCAGATATCTTTTGTGAAAGTCTGACTCTGCACGCTACGCCATCCGCTCCCAGAAAACTAAGATCTCTGTCAGGAACTAACACAAAAATACCCCCAAAAGATGCATCTCTTTGTGGACTTAATTGGACTTGACAACAAAGAACAATAAAAATGTGAAAAATTAACTGGTGGACACCTTATTAAATAATTGGAGGCTATACTAATTAGATGTAAACAGAAGTAAATGAGACATCACTCCAAATGACACCACTGATCTTCCCTTCAGCTCCTCTCAATATCAAAACGATTATCCATCGGATTTCACTTTGTCTTTTATTCATGATGCTTCTTAGCCAGGTATTGCAGGCGCCATGATTTAGATGACGAGGATCATCGATTGTCAGCTCCCATCTTGCCGCTGTTGATCATGCAGCGCTCGATATGAGACAGCGCCGAAGAGGTGGCTCCGTGATAAAATACAGATGATGTAAAAAGGAAGAAAAAAAAAGAAGGGAGGGGGGGGGTGGTAGAGGTCGTCGACGGAGAGTTCCTCCTCTGGTTCTGTTGTTTGTCTTGTCTACAGATGTTGTTTGAGTTGTGGGCAGATGTTAAGACCTCCCAGGTTCCGCGGTGCATCCGAAGTGTCACATCAAAGCTCGGGCTCATTAATGAGAAAGAATTAAACACTCACCCAGATGACACCAAACGGGGAAGGAGGCTGGTAGTGTGCACAGGAAAGTTTTTTTATTTTTATTATTTACCGAAGAGAAGTGAAAATGAAAGAAAGATTAAAATCTGTAGAGATAAAAAAAACCCTCAGATGTGGTTTCTCGTTCAACAAGTAATCCCTCCTGTCTTTTACCTTCATTCCCCAGCAAACAGCCACTTCGCCTTTTTTCCATTTTCCTCACTATTGATAAAAAATACAACGAGGTATTTCAATGCTTGATAAGTTCATCAATTATGCACAGGCATTATCTTGGCCTTTTCAGGC